GCATGGTACTAAATGAAACGTTACGTTATTACTCACCTGGCTATATCAATCTTCGCGAAGCGAAGGAAGATTGCACTATTCGCGGCGTACGATTTCCGAAAGGTGTTGGTGTTGCCATTGCTGTTAAAGCTATTCATGAAGATCCTGATGTATGGGAGAATCCAGACAAATTTGATCCAGAGAGATTTTCACCTGAAGCTAATGCTAATCGTCACCCTTGTCATTTTCTACCATTTAGCGAAGGCCCTCGAAAATGCATAGGTATAAGATTGGGCTGGATGAACATGAAACTAATCTTAGCAAGATTATTACAACGAGTGAAATTTGATGTGGCTAAAGAGACCGAGATCCCGTTACCAACGGTAATACAATTTACTGTTGTACCAGAAAATCCGGTATATCTGAAGATTGTTCATAGGACGCAATAAAGTAATTTTCCATCAATTGTCACTCATGTTCTTAGTCATTTAGTGGAAAAGAATAAAGTTATTACTGCAACAGTAAAGCTTGAAAAGGATTTGACATTGGTGGACATACGTAGTCCGTTATCAATTCCGGAATCTGAATAATATGAGTGTTACTGATATGCTTCTTATGCTACTTCCTGTCATGCTGGTAGAACACCATTTATTCTGTACACTAATCTTAATATAGCATAGTACATTACTATTACCGGGATATATATAATATCAAATGATAATACTATCTGTTAATTTTATTAACAAATTGAGCATAAACGTATATTTGACAGTTTCGCTTACCAACCTTAACATAGCATTAATACTGTATATAGTAACCATCCTTATTCGGTAAACGTACTAATGCGAAAGTTACTTAAGGAAATTTGAATTGGTGTAGAAATGAATGATCTCTAGGGTTTATGTAAATATTATTGAGAAGGTATAAGTGATTGATACACATTAGTAGGTACTATTAGTTCTATTGCTCTCATGCATTTCGTAGTGTAACTCTACAGTAGTTCCCCTGTCCCGGTTATTTTTGATTGCTATGTATCATATAACAAAAAGTGTTTCTAAGAGGATAATGTCAGTTAGTCAGCGATCTGATAGGCGAAAGCGAAGTGAACAACGTGGAAATGCACGATCAATACGTACATTAAATCAATCAGTTTTAAATATAGTAGTACCCGGCTATTACCGGGATATATATAATGTCGAATGGTAATACTATCTGTTAATTATTAATAAATGGGCACATTATCGTAAACCGTCAGCAAAGCGACAGGAGTTTGGACTAGTTCCATTGAAATGCCTGTATAATATTTACTGTATATAACATATACCCGTAGAAGGATATCTCCGTAGGTGGGCTTATAGAGCGGCAGCTACTGTATTACTATTACTATTACAGTAGTACTGTATTCCGTTGAAATGCCGGTATAATATTTATGTAACATACAGTATACCCGTAGAAGGATATCCGCAGGTGGGCTTATAGAGCGGTAGCTACTGTATTACTATTACAGTAATACTGTATTCCGTTGAAATGCCTGTATAATATTTATGTAACATACAGTACTGTATACCCGTAAAAGGATATATCTTCGCAGGTGGGCTTATAAAGCGGCAGGCACTGTATTACTATTAGAGTAGTTGCACGGTCATTGCATCTACAGTTATTACAGTAGTTGCACGCTGATTACATCTACAGTTATAATACGTTTGTCAAATCTCGCAAATATGGATATAACTTTTATCATTCTGTCCTCGACTTTTGCTGTCTTACTCTTTACTTATATTTTCTATTTCTACTATCTCAAACCTTACTCCTACTTTGATAAGATTAATATACCTGGTCCTAAACCCAAGTTTATCGTCGGTAATTTATGGGATACCGTTTATGCTCGTAGGCATCTATGTTTAACTGACCATGTTAAAAAGTATGGAAAGATTTTTGGATTATACTACGGTCGAAAACCGATAATCCACGTAGCCGATCCTGATATTGCTTATGAAATTCTAGTTAAACAATCCGAAAATTTTATTAACAGAATTAAATTCGGACCAACTTCGAAACAGCCCGTAGGCTTAATTGATGCTCGCGACGTGACTTGGAAGCATGCTCGTGAAAGTCTAACTCCGCTTTTCTCTCCGAATAAGTTAAAAGCCATGTCTCACTTCGCTAATGAAGCTAGTAGCAATTTGTTAGAGAAAGTTTTACACAAAATCGATAACGACGATGATACTATAAACGTGAGGGAACTATTTTATAGTACCGCCATGGATATGTCATTATCATCGCTATTTGGTGTTAAACCTAACGAAGAAAAGAAAATCGAATTACAAACTCACATCAATAACTTCTTGGGTGGAATTAGAAGGCCAATTTCAGTGTTATTTTTTGCATTACCAAATATTTACAGATTCCTAAGCTTATTTATCGCTTATAAACAAGTCAAAGGTATCATAAAAGCGTCGTCTATGTTAAGAGAAATTGTCACAGCTCGTCGTAGAGAATTAGATCAAGGTTTATCTACTAGAACTGATATGCTAAAGTTAGTAATCGAAGCAGAACATAAAGAGAAAATAAGCGATTTCGATATTGTACAACATTGCTTTACTTTTTTAATCGGAGGATATGATACTACAGCTTCTAACTTGACCTTCATAGCATTTGCTTTAGCTACTAATCCTGATGTACAAGATAAAGTCATTGAAGAGATTGATCAATATTGTCCTGATGAAGATAATTTAAACTATAACGATATTCAAAAGTTAGACTACTTAGAAATGACGATTAACGAAGCATTTCGTTACTTCTCAGCTGGCTACATTAGCCTACGTGAAGCTAAAAGCGATTGTGTTATTAACGGCGTACAATTTCCAAAAGGTGTCGGTATTGCAATTGCAGTAAAAGCTATCCATGAAGATCCTGATATATGGGAAAATCCTGATAAATTCGATCCTCAGCGATTTTCAGCCGATCAGAAATCTAAACGTCATCCATGTCACTTTTTACCATTTAGTGATGGCCCTCGTAAATGCATAGGCAATAGACTTGGTATAATGAATTTAAAACTAATTTTAGTACGATTACTACAACAAGTCAAGTTCGAAGTAGCTAATCAAACTGAAAATCCTTTACCGACAGTTGTTGTTTTTACAGCTATACCAGAAAATCCAGTAATATTAAAAGTCGTACGAAGAGTGTGATTACTCATATAATCATCGCTTTTAATGTCTGCTTAAGTACTAAACTACTTACTTACATCTAAAAATTGCGATGGATAACAGATATTATAATACTATTTCTTATTGTAATGTAACTTGGTATTGTGATTGTAGACTGTTAGCCATGTTTAGTATAATGTACGGTAGCGTAACTTCTATATTTATCCTAAGATATTTTTGGTAGCCATAACTATAGACTGTAGTGGTATAAACTCTATGCTAGAGTACAGATGACTATATACAGTAAGGTGTTGAGTTACTAATAAGGTTATAGGTAAAAATAGAACTGTAAATCATATATTAGGATATGGTTAATTCATTGTACCTTGGCTGGTGTGAATAATGTCTACGTAAATACTGTAGTCGTATCTATATCAGATTAATGATGGTCCGCAGTAGAATAGTGCTACTAAGAATAATTTAACTATGCATAAAATAAGGTAAAGGTTGCCGTGCGGATTGTAGCTGCGAATGCTACGAAAAGCATAAAAGCATACAACTTTAGATTATTCTGTTAGTTCGTTCTAGAAGTCTTTTGTAGTAGTATTCGGCTAGAGTAGAGCTGCGTGTAGTTAATCTTTGTATAAGATTCAATAAAGCCCTTATTTTTTCTAATTTTGGAATTTCGTGATCGGTATATATCACACTTATTTAATTAAGATAAGTTA